GAGTTACGAAAAATAAAAAATTTTCTTCGGGGAAAGGGGGTTATGAAACAAAACGGACAGCGGTTGGCTTTTTTCCAACCCACCGGGGTCTTTTTTGTTGTGTCCCGGGAAATAGAAAACCCGGTTTGAAGATAAGATGCTTATGTTGGGGGGGGAAGGATGTTGTTGAAATGGTTGCCCAGTTAGTGGAAAAAAAAAATAACCCTTTGTTAAATGGTTGTTGTTTGGGGGAAAGGGAATTTTGAAACATGGATTCGGGGGGTTTAAAAAGTTTTCCTGCAAAGCCTTTTAATGGCACCCCTTCCGCTTCCCAAAATTTTTCCAAAATATTGCCACAAAAATTGGTGGTTTTACAGTTTTTTAAACGGGTTGCCCGGGTATTTCCGGTTCGCATTATTAAATAAAATTGGGGGAACGTTATTAAATGCCCCGGGGGTAACCCCCCCCCCCCCCCCCCCTGGGACTAGGGATTAGGGCATATGGGTTTACAGGAGTGCCCCCCCCCCCCCACCAAAAACTGAGGAGAACGATTTTCCGGGGGGGGCGCGCGTTTCACGGCTGCCGCCGCCGTGTTCACAGTCCTTTCACCGCATTTATCGCCGGGGCCTCCCAGGGGGGGATTTTTTGGACCCTTGACCTGCTCGCCTTTTGCTGGAAGTCCTCCCGCAGGTATTGGAGGAGGAGCTTGGGGCCCCCCTCTGTTTAGGAGGTAGACGTCCCGGATGTTGCCGTTGCCGATCAGGGTTTTTTCCCCCTCCATCATTTCCGGGGCGGGCATACGCGCGAGAGTTAGGGGGGGGGGGGGGGGTTAAGACAGTTGCTCACGCAGGTTTCTAAAATTCTGCGCGGCGTTGCTGCTGCACAGAAACGCGAGAAACAAAAACTGCTGTCCAACTTGGGCATGCCTACGTGTCATGCAATGAGCAAGAGAAGCACGTTGATCTGCAGGCTACGTCGTGTGCTCTGTTGTTTACGTCATGAATACACCGGTGGCACTGCTGTTTTGTGCCTTTGAGACGGAACACCTTCCGCTCTGCAGGGTCCGAAACGTTTTGTTATACCCGGGGAACACGACCTGATGTTACATACAGGAAAATACGCTGTTGAACGTCGCGTGGTAGTACGCTCGCTCAGCGAAGTAAGGGCGCGGTGGGAGGATTTTGGTTTACTGCTGTGCAGGACGCATGTACCGTGAAGGATGCATTTAACGGGTGGCGAGGAGCTATGCGTATGGACTACTACTGCTGTATCGGGATAATTGTAGCGAGGATATTGTATCGCGCAGAGACGGGGACGAGGGTAAAGACATCTTTCACTTACTCCCCAACTTTCCACGTCCTCAGACCTCTCAACACTCAACTATTACAGGCTCCAGAGCTACCGGCAGGCCTAAATGAGCACAACAGCGTAAGCTCATGTACTGCCGTAGGATGCATTATAAGAAAAAATAAGAAGAACAACACCGAGAGATGAGCATGTGACGAGGAAGACGCCCATGTGTCGGTTGGTGCAAGTGATCCCTCCGGAGAGGGAGAGGGCTCATGAGAGCACAGCAGAGCCATCGAGGGGTGATGCAAATTAACAACATGCTGAAAAGCAGAGAGTAAATATAAATAACCCAAAGCGTCCCAAGCTGCGGTGTGCCGTTTCCCCAAGCTCAACAGATCACACAACAAGCGGACGCATTTTGACTCGAAGAGCCTCGACGACCCAAACAAGAAAAAAATAGGAGTACCACTTAGCACGAACCTGTATGCAGTCCATTTGTACATGGGCAGGAGACGAGACTGCTGCACCGCATAGAGAGACGTTGAGCAAACGGCTCACTCCCCAACTTCCACTTCCTCAGGGCTCTAAAGCTGAGGTGTTACAGGCTCCTGAGCTACCGGCAGGCATTAACGAATGTCCCAACGAGGTAGCAATACAGCTCCACCCTTTTGCACGGCGGTCGACAGGCATATCAACATCAATATGCATATGCATACTACTTGTAGTATACTTTCGTCGCGACAAAGGACGCGCAGATGGAAAAATGGATACGAACAAGTGATTCCCAGCCCACCCCATCGATCACAACCTCTCCAATTCTTCCAAGTTGATGTACTTCAGCAGGTGAGACAAAATACTCCTGTAGCCGAGACAGAATGGTCACTGGAAGAACAAGAACAAGAACACTTACTGCGCGGTGGCAACGCCCCACCTTGCCTATTTGTAGCCACGTCCCCATCTTGTACAGAGTTGAAATGGGATGACAAATTACACTTCAGTTGCTCTATACTGCTGTAGGCATGAAACATGAAACGCTCTGTCCGCGCAGCAGGTGGTCGCAGTGATGTGTTTGTAGACTACTGTACGTCATTTCAGAGGACACCCCAATGGGTGGACGGAAACAAGGCCATCGGGAAAGTATCTTACCAAAAAGATGGGAGTGAGCGACGACTTGATTCAGAAGAGCGCAGGAATGCATACAGCAGTCACATGTGGGCATGGAGTGCTGCTTGTACATGGTAGTTGCAAGGTAGGATCAGCCCGCAGCGGAAAAATCTAGCACAAAAAGCGGCTGTTCCTACCAAAGCAGTGTATGTAGCAGAGTAGTATTTTTTTTTTTTCTTTTATCATTGGACTCTGCCGTCTGCCCCTCTGGCCCCCGTCCTCCCCTTCAACTAGCTGGACGACCCAACCGGGGTCACATAGGAGGGGGGAGTTGGACTTCCTCCTGCGGTTCCTGCCTGAGATATTTTTATCGCGAGAAGGGTACAGCAATCCCTTCTCTCGCGACTTATGTAGTCGATCCATTAATAGTATACAAACAACGGAGATATTTTTATCGCGAGAAGGGTTCATACAGCAATCCCTTCCCTCGCGACTTGTGAAGTCGATCCATTAAAAGTTATACAAACAACGACCTTTGCAGCGCGTCGCTTCCAACTTATACCAGGATTTATTTGGAGGGAAAAATAACCCACTTTGCCGGGGCTCGAACCCACGACCTGGCCCATAGTCGGCTGCGTGGGTACCGACTGGACCACCGGGGGTAACCGGTCGTGCGGGCTCCAGCTATTCTCGGGGTATGCTGCTGTACATACGTACATACACTACATCACATTGGAGTATCAGACTGTACCAGATATGTATCATTCCGCACCCACCTCTATCTCCTCGCACCCAAACTCGTAGTTCGACTCGTCCACCACCTTCTCCCAGAGCGGGTTCCGCAAGCACTCCTCCGGCGGCACGTCCCTCACCACCTCCACCGGTAAAACCGGAGGCTTCCAGGGCGAAACCGGGTCAGGCTTCTGCCGCGGCCGCTCTTGTCGGTCCCTTCCATCATCGCCCGTTCCCCCACCCGCTACAATTGCTGAAGTTATTTTCGGTACTTCTTCGACTCCGCCGCCGGGCTCGCGATGCGGGAGCTCCTTGACGGGAGTGGGTGGGGGGCGAGGAGGGGGGAGGACTACCGGCAGCGGCGGTATCGTTGGCGGTGCTTTCCCTGCCGCCGCCGCCGCCGCCGCCGCCGCCGCTGCTGCTGCTGCTGCTGCTGCTGCCGCAGCTGCACCTGCTGTCGTTGCTTCTGCCGCTGCTTCCGCCGGTGGCTGCTGCTGTTGTTGCAGTATTCGCGTGAAGAACCAAAGAGATGGGGCCACCAGCAGACAGATGGCCGTGAGCACGAAAGTGCTCGGCCTCCTGAGCCATCGCAGGAGGAGGATCAGGGAGCTCTGCCCCCCGAAGCGCCCCCTCTTCCTGCTGCCGGTGCCGGAGATGAAGCTGCTTTGGTGGTGGTGTCGAACTCGGTTCAACGAAGAATATTGCCTGCTGCTAGCAGCCTCCCCATTGTTGTAGAGCGGAGAGGAGCGCAGCGTTGGCAGCGCTGTTCTACTCTTCGCGGTGGAAAAATTTAGGTCCATGGCCTCCTCCTCCTCCTCCTCCTCCTCCTCCTCCTCCTCCTCCCTGCCGTTGGTCTTGGCGGACGCCGGGTGATTGTCTGGGAAGCAACGAGCGAGGGGATGCAACAGCGCTCGGAAATGTGACCCTGTTCGGTCGACTTGACCCGCACCTCATACGCTGTCAAAACCATCACAAGTCGACATGAATATTTCTACAGGAAAAAAAATCTTCATCACAAACGAGCGTAAAGAGCCACACCTCATCATCATCCTCACATTTTTAGAAAGCACGCAGCCGCTGTATACGGTTTGGGCCTCATCAGGCTGCTCTGCCGATGCTGCGTGACCTTGAGCGACACGTTCCACCACACGCAATGACCCGAGAGGGTTCCAACACTTCGCAGCAGGCGGAACAAACAATCTCTTCTTTAATTAAAAGGAAAAATAAATACACGCACAGAGAGAACGGACCGGTTTTTAATGTGAAGACAACAACAACAACAACAACAACAACAACAACAACAACAACAAATAAACTAACAGGGCCTCATTAGGCTGCTCTGCCGATGCTGCGTTACCTTGAGCTACACTTTCCACCACACGCAATGACCCAAGAGGGTTCCAACACTTCGAAGCAGCAGGCAGAACAAACAATCTCTTCTTTGTTTTGTTGGAGGAAAAAAAAGAACTCGGGGAGAGGACGGGCGACATATATATATATATATGTAGTCTACATGATGAACAACGCTTGTTGATCTATCTGCTGTGTACCTCGACCTGCGGCTTTTATAGCGCACGGAGACCCTTGTGTGCATCAGCACCACGCCTTGTGTACCCCATTCCTCATTTATTTTCGTGACGTTCCAGTGGCGTCCCTCCCTCCTTCTTCTCTCGGCAAGAAGGTGAGTGAGAGACCTTCTGTCGAATCCAAGAGAGAACAAGGGCGAACTAACTGCTTAGTTAGGCAGCAAACTGCATTATATGCTGCTTGTTGCGTAGTCAAGGACGCATATGGCACATATATATGCAGTAAAAAACTCTAAGAAATCCACAAATAGCCCGTGTTGTGACTGGCGATGATGATTGGCTGACACCAGCAGTCACGGATGACGTCATGAGCTAGCGATCTCCCGCTCTCTCCTGCTGCCAGCAAGCACCCTGCTGCAGGTCTCTGGCTGCTGCTGCGCGTCGGTCTGCGCACGCACTCACACTTTTTCTCACTCGCAACTTCCCTATTTAAGACGTGTGCCCTCCGAGATACCCCACCATCTCAGGGAGTTGGCTGTCGGGCTGTGAACGTGTTCCCCCCAAGACGCCCACCAGGTAGGGACGGTAACGCATCGCGCGTGGTTTGTGAGAAGAAGCGGAACAACAACGGCAATGCCAAGTCATTGTGACCAACAGGGCGGCCGTGGACGAGACCGGCACCGCGGCGCGCACCGTGATGATGTGAGTGTTTGTTTTTAGCGGCAGAGGAAAGGTGCTGGCTGCTGCGTCGACGTTTGCCCTCCGCCCCCATGCACTGCGCATTTTTAGAAGTCGATGACGATGAATCGCTGCGAGTGAAGCCTTGCGTGGCATTGCTCCCAAACTGACCGGTTCTGGAGGGAGTGCAAGCAAGGGGTTATCTCTTGAGAGCAAACAAACGCCCCACGGCGTGCTTTGGGCAGGCACAGGGTTCGGCACACAAAACTACATTCGTATTCTCCCCATGCGAAGAGCAACCGACAATACCGAATTTGCACCGCGTCTTCTGCATGCATCATCAGAAGAGTATCCAGGCTTAACCCTTAAAACAGACTCGGAATAAGCCCAGTACCCAGCTGTTTTCGCTGCAAAGTCTTCAAGACACCCCGGACTGTAGGTTGTAATCTCGAACGGGGAGTACTCTGTGTTCTATGTTATGTTTGTACGTGTTTTTCCTGTTCAATGCAAGGCATTGGTGGACTTTCATCACAAACGAGTCCAATCAGAATATTCCGAAAGAGGAAACCCGGTGACTCGACCAAGTGAACTGTGCACATGGTCGGAGACACAACATCACCATTTCATTGAACAGAGCCGGCCTCGACGCACGAGTACTCGCCGTTTCTTGCCTAGAAAGGGAGTACCTGCTGTATGCTGTGTGGTATGCATAACTCTCGTCGTATTGACTACGCAAGCCCATGGCACGCTGAGTCCAAATTCAACCCATCAGTTGAGTCCCGCCTTCCGGGCCCCCTCTGCTGCGTGGGAACTGCTGTAGTGCTACCCAGCGCGTATCGTGGCATCAACATTAGTACAACAACTAAGGATATGCCCGCTTAGGCTGGAGTGTTCTGCCTATTGGCTAGTACATAAAAAGTTTCGAGGACAAACAAACACCGTCGGCCCACGCGAGGTGGGAATAAATGTCTTGGTCGGATGGTGGTGTGGTGGTTATTAAGCCCTACTCGCGAAACAGCAAGCCGAATCCGAACAGCAATCTAAGTTGTACAAGTAATTAGCATCTGGTAATTGCAGCGGCAGGCCAGACGGTTGGTAGGCAGGCGGTGTAAACAAGGGTTCCAGTCTGTTGGGACCTCCCCCCGCCCACCTGCGCGCCACCGCTGCAACCAGGGTCGCCTCAGAACTTCGGGGATTTTCGGAATGTGTTTTGGGGATACAGGGGGCTGCTCGCCTGTCCTCTTCATCAGCCTTTGTCAGAATAGTCCTCTGTCATGTTTGTTCGTGTTTTTTGTTTTCATCACATCTGTCGTTGATTTCTATTGACTTGCCGATCTTCGGGTCCATTTTTTTCCATCTGCCTGTTTTGGGCAAGTTAGCCTGTGACCACGGGGGGAATCGACGTCGTCAAGTGTTAAGACTATAATAGTACGGCCAGAAGAAGGTACTGGGTAGAGAGAACGGAACGGTTTTTAATGTGAAGACAACAACAACAACATCAATATACCGCTCACACAAACACAGCACTTTCAGCCGAGGACGAGCTCCAATCCGTGGGAAATTTTTATTGTAGATTTTCGTAACATACAACGCCGGACGCAAACAGCGCCGCTCGATGCTAATTTATGCAACCCACACTCACGGAGTCCCAGATCATGAACTCTTCGAAGCGGTTTCTGTTTTTCAGCCGCACTGAGACCGCCAGCTAGCTCGGCGGTCGATGCTAATGATCAAGAGACACGCCCTCTCTGCTGTGCTGTTTGTGTGCGCTCCCCCTTCCTTGGCTCGGTTCGCTTTTTTTGGCGTCATTTGTGCTGGAGGGTTGGTGGCAGCGCCACCGTACTGCTGTAGCCAACAACAACAAGTGACAGCGATCCGCTGTAGTTGTTCCGGCCTTTTCCATGGGAGTCCACGAGGTTTTGGACTGGCCTCACGTTCTGCGTGCCAGCCACACCCCTCCACACGAATCAGATTTCGCACCCACAAACGTTGTGACACGATTTGCATGCATGTTCCCGAGCACGTCGATGGACGCAGTCCGAGTGAAGCCTCCGGTGTATATCTCTGGTCTCGATGTTGTTGTCAACGTCCCAGCTTGGACCCAAGCTGTTCCTATCCTTTCAAAAACCGTTGCCCAATGGCGGGAAGAAAATACATGCGCAAAAGGAAGGCGGGGGTAGCACCACAGTAACGAAGGCGGAGAATACAACTCCTTATGTCTTTGTTCTGTGTGCCCCCGGCTGGTGCGTCCAGAATTGTACCGAAAAGGTGTAACGACCGACGTCCAGAATTAAGGGGTGACTAACAAGATTAGGGCGGGGGGTAGCCTAGTACACTTTCCAATATCTTGCAGGCGCGGGAGAAAAAATGTGGAGGGGAGATTAAAAGTGGCAAGATGACCAACGACGAGCGAACGGTGTCTATCGGCGCCGCGCGCCGACCCTCGTCAATACACATACGTGCAAAGCTTGTGTCTTGTGCAGACACCGAAGGGTTTCATCCACCGTGCGCGTGTTTCTGTTCTTCTCCTTCGCATGCGTTGGAATGAACGGTGTGCAGGAACGCCGCCCACGCGGGCACGGCGGGCGTGGCGCGGGCCGTGGCGGCGGTGGGGGGGGGCGGGTCAGGCGCGGCCGCAGGGGCAGCGGCAGCAGCAGCAGCGACCGCAGCCGCGGCAGCAGCACCAGCGACTACAGCAGCTGCAGCGAATCTGTAAGTCGGGGGCATGATGCTTGTCTGTCCACTGTTGCACATACATAGGTGGCGGTAGCACCCCTCATGCGGGGCCGTAAGCGAACGGCCCAAAGGGAGGTATGAAGACGAAGAACTCTTTCGGTTCAGACCGCGTCTTGCAGTTGGAATGTGGCACGGCCGGCGTTTCGGAGCTGCGCGTAAGACAGCTAGTTGTAACACCAGCCTGCCGCATACCAAACGTAGTGACCGCGGCAGAGAGATCTTCGAGTTCGTGTACAAACCTCGGCGACGGAGTGGAAGACTCACCAGTCGAACAAGCGACAAGCCTTGCTTTCCGCCTCGTTTTACTTCAACAAGTGCCAAGCAAGCACGAATGGCAAAAGCTCAAGACATGCCACCATCTTCGTCTGCAGATCAATAGTGTGGTCCGCTGCGGAGCACGTGCAAGCGTTGCCCCCCACCGCCGGCATTAGGCAGAACAGTTTTTTTTACACCGTCGGCTAAGTTGGAAGGAACGATTAGCCATCGCGACCTGTCCTGTCGGAACAACGCTCCGTTCTCTCGAGGATGCGTGGTCAGTAAGGAGGAAATGCACCAACTATGTTCCCCTGCATAGGTATTGCCGTCGCCATTCATCATTGTATGGTCTGCTACTGCTGTATCACACCTTACACGCAGAGCAGCGCAGGGTCGAACTGCATGCGACTCGCCAGTAGACTGCGGCTGTCGTTTACGGACCGTTAGCTGTTTTCCCAACTGCTGCACAATCATCCTGTTCCAATTTCAATACGATGCGCTTCCGTTGAGTACATACATACCGACAACATAGCAACTAGCATCAGGATCATGGTCAACACCAACAAACGCACAACACACAGGACGGGGCAGGTGGCAGGCGCCGGCGACAGCGACGCGGCGGGAGCAAGACGGGGGCCCGCCGCCGCAGCAACAGCAAGACTCGAGGTGGCCCACGCAACCGCAGCAACAGCAGGACTCGAGGTGGTGCACGCAGCAACAGCAGGACTCGAGCGGCCGCGTGCAGTCGCAGCAACAGCAGGACTCGACCTGCCCCGCGCAGTCGTAGCAACAGCAAGACCCCGGGCGGCCCGCGCAGCCGCAGCAACAGCAAGACCCCGGGCGGGGGGCGCCGTGGGGGGAAGCATGGCGGTGGGCACAGGAAGAAGGGCAAGAGCGGGAGCGGGAGCGACAGCGATTCGGTGAGACTCTGAGTTCCATTCACTTGGCGTTTTCTAGCAGGTCCCCTCGTTGAGTCTTCGTTTCCGCGGCGGTTTCACCCCCACGGTAACCTCCGAAATTTTTACCGACGTGATTCACACGCCTTGTAGCTGTTGTACCCCCCCCCCCCCCAACCACCAAGCTTCCTCGAGGCAGTTACACAGTGCTTACAACTGTCTCTGGAAGTGAAAGCACCAGAAAATAAATTAAGTCATACGTAGCTGTCATCCGTACGCAAGGAAGTAAGCACAAGATGCCGAACACCCTTAGCAGGATGCAGCTCACCCTTCATGCGACTCGCCAAATACCTCACGGCGCTTCGCGCTTGGTGATGTGAGAGCCTGGTCCGGTGAGAACCCGGCGTGCTCCGTCCCGGCTTTGTAGGGGTGCGAGGTCAATGGTCATACGACTACGGCATGCACGACTATGAGTACACCCCCCCCCACTCGGTGTTTGCCATCGAGATTGGGTTTTCGTCGCTTGGCAACGACGTTGTAAAACAAGCCAATTCACTTCGTGAACTCGGCAACCAGGTTACCGTTTTTTTTTTTTTTACCTCGGTTTTTGTTTTTGGCGGTAACCATAATGGTGGTCGAGTAGATCATGTTGTGCGGGGTGGAGAAACCTCACTCCGCGCAACGGGGGATGATCGCACCACGTTGTGTTAAAATGGTCAAGCTTCCTCGAGGCAGTTACACAGTGCTTACAACTGTCTCTGGAAGTGAAAGCACCAGAAAATAAATTAAGTCATACGTAGCTGTCATCCGTACGCAAGGAAGTAAGCACAAGATGCCGAACACCCTTAGCAGGATGGCAGCTCACCCTTCATGCGACTCGCCAAATACCTCACGGCGCTTCGCGCTTGGTGATGTGAGAGCCTGGTCCGGTGAGAACCCGGCGTGCTCCGTCCCGGCTTTGTAGGGATGCGAGGTCAATGGTCAAACGACTACGGCATGCACGACTATGAGTACACCCCCCCCCCCCAACCACCCGCCACCCCCCGGTGTTTACCATCGGGGTTGGGTTTTCGTCGCTTGTCAACGACGTTGTAAAACAAGCCCCCCCCTCGGTGTTTGCCATCGGGGTTGGGTTTCGTCGCTTGGCAATAACGTTGTAAAACAAGCCAATTCACTTCGTGAACTCGGCAACCAGGTTACCGTTTTTGTTTTTTTACCTCTGTTTTTTTTTTTGCGGTAACCATACTGGTGGTCGGAGTAGATCATGTTGTGCGGGGTGGAGAACCCTCACTCCGCGCAAGGGGCATGATCGCACCACGTTGTGTTAAAATGGTCAAGCTTCCTCGAGGCAGTTACACAGTGCTTACAACTGTCTCTGGAAGTGAAAGCACCAGAAAATAAATTAAGTCATACGTAGCTGTCATCCATACGCAAGGAAGTAAGCACAAGATGCCGAACACCCTTAGCAGGATGCAGCTCACCCTTCATGCGACTCGCCAAATACCTCATGGCGCTTCGCGCTTGGTGATGTGAGAGCCTGGTCCGGTGAGAACCCGGCGTGCTCCGTCCCGGCTTTGTAGGGATGCGAGGTCAATGGTCAAACGACTACGGCATGCACGACTATGAGTACACCCCGGATGATCGCACCACGTTGTGTTAAAATGGTCAAGGTTCCTCCGAGGCAGTTACACAGTGCTTACAACTGTCTCTAGAAGTGAAAGCACCAGAAAATAATTTAAGTCATACGTAGCTGTCATCCGTACGCAAGGAAGTAAGCACAAGGTGCCGAACACCCTTAGCAGGATGCAGCTCACCCTTCATGCGACTCGCCAAATACCTCACGGCGCTTCGCGCTTGGTGATGTGAGAGCCTGGTCCGGTGAGAACCCGGCGTGCTCCGTCCCGGCTTTGTAGGGATGCGAGGTCAATGATCAAACGACTGCGGCATGCACGACTA